CAGTTCAGATGGAGCCCACAAACTCATAATCAAGCCTGAGCAGCAGTTCCACCCTGGGATGGGAGCTGGAGATGCCTGTCAGAGCGCTAAGCTCCATCATCAACGCATGCTTCTGCAGCAAACGCAGGGTTACCCGCAACAAACGGGGCAGGTAATGATGAGGAACTCTAACAACCCCAGGTGTGACTTTCAAGGGCCAAACCAAAACCCTTTTCCCAGTGGAGAGGGATTAAGTCTGGGCTGCGCTGGCTCTGCACTGGCTGATGGTCAGAGGTCAGAAACCCCAATGATGCAGGTAAAGGAGATGATGGTGAGGAATTATGTGCAGTCCCAGCAAGCACTCATGTGGGAACAGCAGCAAGAGCAGCAGCAGAGTGGATTAAAACCTTCTCCTCTCTCTGACAGTATGGATCTGAGTGGTCAGGCAGCGATGATCCAACACAGTCCACAGCACCAAAACCAAAATCTTTATTCCAGCCAGACCTATCCTTACCCCAACCAGAACCTGATCATGAGTCCTCAGGCCCACAGCCGTGTGCCAAGCTCAGTAACGCCTAAAGACCAGCAGATGGCAGGTCTCCAAGGTTCATGTTATAACCAGGAAATGGTGATCCCCAGACCTCCTCAGGGCCGAAAACCTCTCAGCCGCCAGAGTAGTCTGTCACAGGTGGGAGGAGGCTACCTTGGCAGCCCACCACACCTGAGCCCCGTCCATTCCACTTCCAGTCCCAGGCGAGGCGTTCGACTTCCTCCTGTCCAGCATCCGCAGCATCCCCAGAATGAAATGTTCTCTCCTTCCAACAACAACAACAACGTATACTACTCGGGTCAGATAAACATCGGTATGGAGAAAAACATGGACGCTCAAAACGGGCCTTGTCTTAACCAGCAGCACAGTATGGGGTCCAGTCTGGACCCAGTAGGTGGCACAAAGTCCACCCCTTTGGCTAACTATCCTGAGTCTGGCCCCATTTCAAACGCCCTAGAAAACTTGGACTTGGACAATGCTCGCATAGACTTCACTTCCATTATCGACGATGCCGACTCTTCGTCGTTCAGCGACGTCAACAATCCCATCCAGGATCAGCCGGGATCTTCCTCCCAGGCCTCATCGCGCCTCACCACACCCCAGACTTCTGTCAGCTTGGCTGCAGGGTCTGGCCTGTCTAACATGGCTGTGGGCGACATGACATCCATGCTAACCTCACTAGCTGGGGAGAATAAGTACCTGAATACACTGTCTTAGAAGACAACTCCTTGGCAGCTAAAGAGAAATTAAGGCTAACAATCACACTCTGGCCTTTACCAGGTTAAATGCAACCAGTCTGAGGTTTCAGAAAAGAAAACAAATTCTGTCCCTTAACGTGATTTTTCTCTTGTACATTATAAGAAAACTGAGTTGTGTAAAAACAGAAAAAGTTTTAAAACAGAATAAAAAATCTGTGCTGTTTTATACCTGTATGCTTTTATATGTAAACTGAACATCTTCCGTATTTTTAAAACCAGGATCCCGAGCTGGCGAGCATCTTTTAATCTCTCCACACAGGTCGAAATTTTACAAATCCTCACCCAAAAACCTTAAAACCAAAGGTGCCTGATCAGTGTCTCGCAGTTATCTCCTGCAGCCTCGGTACTCGGTGTTTTTCTGTGCCTTACTGTTGCACACGGAGCTGTTTGCCTGAATGACGCTGAACTTTTTCCTGAACGGGCATTCCAGTCACGTATGGAGCACAGAAGGAAACATGTAAATAAGTTTATACAGCGTGTCATGTATGTGACATTAGGTAATACCCCTGTCTTAATGGACTGCTTGGTTTCTGAAGGCTAATGCTGAGGGATGTCATGGTAAAATGTTTGACAAGTTAAGAGGAAAAAATGCTTTTAGTGATCGTGAAATCATTTCTCCTTATCGCTGAGGATTTCTTCCTTATCAGGAGCAACACAATATGCTACCAGAGCAATGTCAGTATTCCCACACAAACACTTTCCCCCTGCACGTGACCACACAGAGACACTCAGGATGTGTTTGAATCTTTGGTGTTCATATTACATGTATGTTGTAATTGCCTTTCCAGACAGAGAGTTTGCACTCCACATGTTTACTGTAATTATTCTTAAAGCAGCTGTGTATGTATTTTTTTTTCCATTTGTGTTTATAACTGAGGTTCATACAGTGAGCAAAGCTCGAACATAACACGTATCCACAATCCCCACTACATGTCAACATGTGTAATATACTCAAACATGCCTTTACTCAAAGTTAACCTCACCTACAGCTCATATGTGACTCAGCTGAGTATGGTGGGTATTCAAGCTACTGGATACAAATTGACTCAGCTGGTCTGTACAGATTATTAATAGTTGCCTAACTGTTGAGAATCTGAGGTACATTCAGAGTACGGTGCTGCTGCACTTTGGCTCTAATCCCAAAGAGGAGTTGCATGAAAAATGCTGCGTTAATAGTCCACAACAGGGCATTGGGATGAGTGGTTTTTTTTAAATAAATAATTGCTACCACTGTTGTAAAATCTTCATTTTCTTGGTACACTGAGGTACTTTTGTGCAACTTTTGAGCTGTATGATGCAGAAGTAAGCTGCAGCGCTTTATACGAGAACTAATTTTATACTGTGGCTTTGCACTGACTGCAGCATCTCTTATTACTAATAACATGAACCTCTTATTTTTTTTGACAATAAAGAATATTTGCAGTATTTTTTTTGAATAGTCATTCAAGAACACACCTGACCGTGCCTACACTCAGCAAAGCCACATTAAAGTATTGATGAAGCATTTCACGTGACTTTTCAGCTCATAATAATAACGATGCCACTGTAAAGTTTACTAAGCGTTAGCAGGAACGGGGGGGAGAGTACAATCTACCAAAGACATCTACAAATGAGAAAAACATGCACAAATAGTCTATTTTTAACACAACACTAACACTAGAAATAAGGGCATGAACATCGACTGATAGTGCTATGCTTTAGAATGTATGAAATGTTTTGTAAAAAAAAAAAATTGTCTTTTTATATTAATGAACTTCATGGATGTCGCCTTCTATGTGTGTATTTTTTTTTATGTAACTGTCACCTTTCATTCTGACTTTTTTGCTGGCAAAA